TGGCTGTAAAAGATGATCCAGGATGAAAGTGAGGACCAAAGCAGAATGCCTTAAATATTTTGAGAAATTTGGGAGAAAATATTCAGAAGCATGAAAGTAAATATCCTTAATTAAAAATAAGGCACCAAGACCTGTCATGTAAAGGTACAAGATCCGAATGATGAATGTAACTGTACTGTACACCTAGAATGTACCAATAAACTCAATGAGAAAAAAAAGGGGTACCTAAATAGGCATGATGCCTCCTGAGTATGGTGGGCCAGGACTGAGCTCTCCAACCTCACATGGGAATTCCTGGGCCACCCCGAGGCAGGAGCACCAGGAAGGAAGGAGGACGATGCTGTGATGCTATAATGTGACCTCTCTCGCAATGACCGCATTGCCTATCACACACCTGCTGGAGCTGCCCACACAGCACTCGGAACTATGCTTTGATCATGTGACGTGGAGCTACTTTTTTAAATTATGAGGCAAATACAGGAGGGATTGTGTCATCCGAAGCTGAACTGATTCGTGGTGATGACCAAAATCTAGGCAGGGGGCAGGGACACAGCATAATGTTCTCTTTCCATTATTTTCAAAACTTTATTTCCTATCCTACAAAAAAATTTTAATTTAGCATGCCTATTAATTTTTAAGCTGAAATAAACTGGATAAACAAAGAAAACAATCGTATTTAATGAGTAATCAGCTTTTTCTTTTTGGTATCATGGATCGAACAAAGGACCTTGTGCTTATGAGGCAAGTGCAGTGCCACTGAGCTAACTCCCCAGCCCTAGTGAGTAGTCAATTTGTGAGAGGAACTTTCTATAAATTATATGTTTAACTGAACTCCTCAATCACTTCTGGGCAAGAATTCATACTCTTATTTTAAAGATGAGGACACTGAACTGGGGGAATTACAGGGATTTACCTGCATGTGCCACAAATAACTGAAGAGTCAGGATGAAACCCACACCTGCCAGACTCAAAACAACTTGCAATATTGTATGTCATGATTGAAAGTGTTTGATGAAGCTAAGAAAGTAAACTGCTTTGACACATCATTATGAATATCTTATCCATATATAGTAAATAAGCTTTAAACGTGTGTTTTTTTCTACCTCTCTGTTTACATCTTAACTAAGTAGAACAATATTTTGACCTTCACAGTGGGGCTTGACCAATTGCTGGCCTCTGTGATGTGAGTTCCTACAGAGAAACCCTACTATGTTGGTAACTCTAGTAACAACTTCACATTTGTAAGGGGTGCAGCACATGTTATCATAGGCCATGATCACAGTGGTATGGTGGGTTAAGACTTCATTCATTCATGCATTTATTCATTCCCATACCTTACATATTTATTTTATTTCTACTTGCTGTGCCTAGAACTGGGCTAGATCTTAAGATACATGGAGACAGAAAGGTTTGGGTCTGGCCTAAATGCATTTTCAGATCTGCAAGAGTCACTGATTACATGAAAAGTAAGATAAGTAAACTCTCCTCATATTGAAATTATTTGCCCTTAGTGGTTCCGCTGCCTGCCTCACAAGAGCAAGGACCCAAGTTCAATCCCGGTACCAAAGAAATTACTTGCCCTGAAAATCATAAGGATTCTTAGAGAAGAATGAAATATTTAAAAAATAGTTACCAGTTAGAAGACATGGTTTCAAAAAACACTAATTTTTTTCCTTCATTATATTTCTTTTCCTCCCTCAGTTTTGTAGCCTTAAGTTTCATGGGTCTTATATAGTCTATGAAAAAGTGTGCATGGTGGAAGATAAACTCAAACCCACCCCCAACCTCTGCACCCTTAGTCTCCAAAGTATTCTTCATAGCAAAAGGGAAGATTTCCAAAATGGATGTTTTGAACAAAAAAGTAAGAATGAAGCATCAATTAACTCTGCACATCATTGTCACAAACATCCTTGAATTGGACGCTATACTGAGAGACTCTAGGACTTGGCACTGATATCTAACCACTGCCAGAAGCCTGTGGGCTCTTTCCAGTCTCTGAGACCACACTCTCAGTCTTGTCTGATCTATGCTCAGTAAGCAAGTGTTGGATGGGCAAAAAGACCAGGCTGGGGTAGGAAGGCATCTGCCCCTCCCTGTAGTCGACTGCCAAGGACAGGATGGAGCCATGGCACAGGCCTCAGCAACTCCATTTGTCATGTGACAGTCAAGGGGACACATCTCAGGCTGAGGTCCCATGTGAAGAATCTTCCCCTGAAGAGCTGGCTTGTTTGTTTGCTTGCTTGCTTGTTTTCATAGTACTAGAAATTGAACCTAGGGCCTTTACATTTAGCTACAACCCCCAATCTTTTTTTAAAATTTTCTATTTTGAAACAAGGCCTCCCTAAATTGTTACGTTCTCCAGCCTGGGCTCAAACTTGCAGTCCTCCTCCTCAGGTTTCTGGAGTGCTAGGATTACAAGCACATGTCACACGCCCAGCCTCTGAAGAGTTTTGAATCCTGAGGTAAATGTTATAAAGAAAACAGAAAGAGGGAGGTCACTGTCCAGGCACAGTTGAATATAAAACAACATTGACTAACCTGGCTTAGTGAGGTCAGGAGTCAGGAACACGATTGCCTGGTACAAGAAGTCAGACACAGATACAGAGATCATTGTGTGCATAGGCTGCCTTGGGCCTGGGAGCTCACACCTGGGCCAGGACAGGCTGTGTGTCTTTGAGGTGAGCCACCAGAGAAGGTCCGCAGAGCAGTGAGGCAGGAAGGAATGGTGGGGGGAAGGAAGACAGAGGTGAGGGAACCCACTGCTTCATCCAGATAACAGGAGGCCCCTTGTGCTAGCTTTTCCTGTGTCTTTAAACAGCTTGATTGATCTTAGGAGTCACCGGTATGACAGCATCCTCTGCAGACCCTCTCTCAGCATTAGGGAGCCCCAAGACCCCAGGTCTGTTGCAAGCAGCCTGCTTACTGCCTCCTCACTGGTGGCGGGGTGGAGAGTTTTCTCCTAAGACAACCCAAAACCATGGCTTTTCTCAGGCACAGCTAAGGGTGTTGAAGCAGTGAAGGAAGGGAGGGACAAGACTATACACAGGAGAAGGAAAACTGAATATGAGGCCTTTTGAGAAGCTTCTGCCAACCACAGAGAACTGACAGGTGTTCAGAGACCTGAGAACTGGAGCCAAAGCAGAGGATACAGGACTTGGGGCAGGTCACACAGAGACTTGGAAAGGTGCCCTCCGCCCTGCCCTCTTCATCAGTAGTAGAAGTATCAGCCCTACGGATGCCCTTAAGCTTCCTAAAACCTCTATCATGGCCCTTTTCCAAGAAAATCTAAGCTTGGATAACATAAGTGAAGATTTTTAGAATTGCCTGGCCGCCCACAAGTGCATTTGGTGAAATGGCATCACCTTGAAGCAGGGAGTGAAGTAAATTGCAGCATTTACAAGCCAAGGCAAATGTTCAAAGGGCACTCGGCACAAAGAACAGATGGCCGATGGGAAGCCAGCCTGCATTCTGCCAACACCCACAAAATGCAGATTTTTTAAGTGCTTGAAGGCTGTTTATGGTCTGAGCACCCAGGAATTGACCCCTGTAAGCTCCTGGGACAGAGGAAACTGTCTTGAAGTGTCACTGCATACTGGATCCCATGACTTTGCATCCTTCTCGCAGGGGAGTTTTGTTTTGTTTTTAACTAAGATTGAACCCAGAACATCTGTCCTGAGCTACATTCCCAACCCTGTCCTGAGACAGAATCTCACTAAATTGTCCAGGAGGGACTCAAATTTAGGATCCTTCTGCCTCAGCCTCCCAGGCACTGGGACTATAGGTGTGCACCTCTGTGCCCTGCTGGGAATTGAGGTGTGTTGTTTTCATTAAAGTTTTAATTTTATTGGTACAAGTTTGTAGTACATCATGATCATATTCCTCATGGAAAGTTGGTACTTGTATATAATACATCTTAATTCTTTTATGAATGTGTCACCTCTGGCTTATAAAAGCCAATCAGAGACTCTTTCTACCCTTTTCTATAATGTGAAAGAGGAAGACAGGTGCAGCCGATGATCTGCCTGCTGCAACCAAAGGCAAAGCCAAAGAAGGAACACTGGTCATTTACATCCTCAGCTCTGGATCCCTGGAATTACCCACACCCTAGGAATATCGTGATTGCACACGAGTCCTTAAAAATCCAATTATAGATGCTCCAGAGGGAGTTTTTATTACATTTTTTAGCTCTCAAGAAACATCACTGTAAAATTATAATTCTAACTTCTTCCACGTTCAGTGAAGTGTTTACAATAACCACTCACCCTAGAAGGATCCCTTTAGTAAAATGATTTTTAAAAACCCAGAAACTCCAAATTGCTAATAGCCAACCAAGGAGAAATTAAGGATACAGAATATATTTTCATTGAAATGTTCTCATTCATTCATTTCCAACTCCTCTAGTTAGTTTCTCATACTGGAGTGTTTTTGAACTGCACATACATTGTCAAAATTAAAAAGTACTCTATATGCCTTCCACAGTCAAAATCAAGTTTCAGAATAATACATCTAAAAAAATTACCATGTTAGTCATGTGAGAACTTGGTTCATTTTTCTGCCTTTCAAATAATCTATTTTGGAGCCAACTCAAATGAGAGCTTTCTAACTGATGATGCGTGACTAGATAGATGGACAGATAGACAAATGGAGGAACAGACAGATGAGTGGGTGAAGGGGTGAGTGGGTGGATGGGTGGATGAATGGATGCATGTATGAGGGTGGGTAGATAGTATTTGGTTAAAGTCAGAAATAAGTACTTAGTATTCTCAGAGACATACACCCTCACACAAAGAACAATATCCTCTTCTAAAAGGAATGACACCAAAAATATTCACCTGATTTTATCTTTACAGAGAATACATTTGCAGACACCATCTCATTGTCACATAGATTCTACCTTTAATGTATTGAGGGAGAAGATCATTTCATCATATTCAGCCTTGGTTTAATTATTGAGTTGATAAATAATCTTAAGGTCACCATGAAGACTTTATGTCACTTACCCTGGGAGGTGGCCGCTGAAATTCTTCTTGTGTTTGAGACAGAGAGGGTACTGGTTCCAGAGATGTCTGGATCTGTTTTAAAAAATCAGTCTCAATTCTGCTGGCAATAAGCATCAAGATCTCTTGGGTAGGACATGCCACATTGCATTTCACAAAAATAGCATATTTCTTTTGTAAAGAAATATGAATTTCTGAAAGTAAAATATATTCTTACGTGTTTAGTTGGTAATTGATATAACATCTCCCTATTCAAATACATATAGTAATTATATTTGTCTAAATTCTCAGCAAATGCCTAACAATTATAGATGCTCAAATTGTACTGTTATTTTGTACCCTTTTTAGATGAAAATCATCTTTCATTCTTGAAATTGTTCTAAGTGGATACTAGTAATCGGCAGTGTACACAACATACAGCACTTACACACACTTACTTATTACTCCTCAGAATATCTAGATAAATTTTCACAGTAACTTCCTGGTCACAATCAGGATGAATCAATTGGTTATCAAGAAAAGTAATTTATAGCTAGAAAAGTTGAACTAATTTTTTTATAATTTCAGACTCATTGAAAACTGGATTAAGTCAAATTAGTTTATATTAATATGATAGTGATTGTTTTGACTTTTCACAAACAAAAAGATTTTGATTCCATATAGCTCAATAACAAATATTGTTTCCACTTACATTGAAGAAAAACGAAGATTTCCACAGAAACTAGCTGCTAAAAAGGAGAGTGCAATGTAACTGAGTTCACTTCTAAACTATAAAGCCCACAAATCGTGGAAAGACAAATAAAAAGGAAAATTTCAAAGAAGTGAAAAATAAAAAGAGCAAGAACTGTCCAGATGATGATTTATTTTCCCAAAAATCTTCTTCATGTGTTTCTGATACATATTTGATTCTTCTAAAAACAGGGGTCATTTCTTAACCTTGCTATCAAAAGCCCACAATCACAGTAATTTGTTTTTTCTTCCATCATTAGTGAAAAAACATCAGCAAATATCCCTGCAGTAGTATAGAAGTTATGGGGTTCTTCTTCCACATTTAAGGACCATGTTTGTGAATAAAGTGGTATGGACTGAGCTTTTGAAGGACAGCCCAGTAGTTAAGGCTTATAGTACACATCAATAGAGTGAACTCGTGTTCACAAGTCTAGTATGATGTTGCCCTAAAACCAAGGCAGCTAAAGGAAAGGATTCAATCCTGGAGATCCATTAAAGGGCAGGAGCCAGGCTGGGGTTGTCACTCAGTGGTAGAGCCTTCGCTTGGCACGCGTGAGGCCCTGTGTTCAATCTTCAAAACATACTATATCATTCTTATGATTTTTTCAATCTTAAAATTAGCACATTCTTACTTACTAACCAGAAAGGGGTGGGAGGCTCTTGATAGTAATCATAGTCTAGGCATATGTAGGGCATATAGTGACCTTGATTCACAACACAACACTAGTTTAACAGGAGGGGAGAAATCCGACATAAGTGAGTCCTTTTCCTAATTCCTAATCAGGCTCCATACAGCAACCCCCATTATTGTCTTCTGGAAAAGAGAATCTGGGAAGTGTCACCCAGTGTGCAAGTGAAAGAAGACTCTCTCAGAAGAAATCCTCCTGGTAATGAGTCAACACCAAGCAGTCAGTCATTAACAGATCCAGATGCTGAGGACCTGCAGTTAATTAAATGTGGACATTTAAATGCTTGGGCTGAGTCTGTGTGCAGAACCCTGGTTCTCAAACTTGGGCCTGCACCAGAATCCCCTGGTGAGCTGTTTAAACCCATTCAATAAGCTAGGCACAATGCCACACTACTCAAGATCTACTCAGCAGATCTGGTTGATGCTACTTGGAAAGCTAAGGTGAGAAGATCACAAATTTGAGTCCAGCATGGGCAACTTTGTGAAACCCTCTCTCCAAATAATAAATTAAAAGGGATGGGGATGTAGCTTAGTGCTATAGCACTTCTGAATTAATCTCATGTCACAACAAACAAATAAACAAAAGAAAACACTCCTTGCAGGCTGCAACCCCAGAGTTTCAGATTAGGAGGTGGTGAACCTAGGAATTTGCATTTCCAACAAGTTTCCCAGAGGCACTTGTTCCAGACCAGTAGTGATAAACTATGGAATTAATGGGTTGTGGTCTTGGGTAATGGTGAAGTATTTATCCCGATACCCTTCAGGAACCTCAAACTCTAGAACATAGCACATCTGTGTCCACAGTTCTCTATTACAACATTTCTCTCAGGAAGAGGAACTTGCTTGGGGCAGAGGGGCAGGTGTGAAGGCCAGGACTCTGGACTGCTCATTGTGCTTTGCATCTGCTCATCAACCTGGCAGAAAAGAGATTGAGTTTGCAGAGAATTACCAGTGATCCCATCCGACACCCTCAGAAAGCTTCTCCAACAGTCAAAAGGATGACTCTCCACCTGCAGTAGGCAAGACCCTTGCAAACACATCCTGGCACTGCAGAAATATCGATGAGGTGATGGTGAGAATTTGAGAGCTGTTGAAATTGTGCTCCCAAAATAATTAGCCACTCCCTCACTGGGTGTCTTTGATGGGGGCAGTTTCAACAGTGGATACCCATTTGGGGGGTGTTTCTGTGCCCAATCAAATCTCCACTTCTCTACTGGCGGCACCACTCACATCATGCCAGTCTTCGGAGGTGAGAAGTAGCCACTCCAATGGGACACAGCTGCTCAGGCACTGCTCACCATCCCTGTGGCCAGGTCTCAGCGAGTCATGGACATTCTTCTCGGGATTGGGGGAGCTCAACTCAGAAGAATCAAGACTATTGGTTAAATTTCATCCAATACTTCACCACAGTAACTGTGATCACACATTCTCTAAGTTGCATTATCCTGAACTGCATGGTTTCCTCAGACACTGTGAACCTGCACCAGCAAAAGCTGTAAACTGCACGTGATGGGGTCCACAGAGGTGCATGTGAACCCCATTTCCTTCCCACCAACGTAGGTCCAGTCCTCCAAAGGAGCTCTGGCTCAGCTCACTATATTGTCTTGCTTGTTGACAAGTGCTAGTGCAATCACCTTAAACTCATTTTGGATTTAATTTCAAGTGGCACTTCTACTCTTTTCATGTGAGGGGTCTTGCTTCCTTTGGGTTTATTTTTTTCTCACCTTTCTGTGAAGTCTCCTCCCCAGGCAGCTCCTGAGCCCTGTGCATGCAGAGCAGCAGATGCAGGGGCAGATGTGGGGGTCTTGCCACCGCCCAGGGCCAGTCGGATTAAAGGCAGTGGCTTCCTCACAGTTTGGTGTGAGCTGCACCAGCCTTCTTGGGTTAAAACTAATTGCAAATTCACCTGAGGGTCCTCCACAGAGGGTTTCTGAGAAGACAGCGGCAAAGAGCAATGGCCATGAAGAGTCTTTCAGTCCTAAAAGTCACTCTACATTCATTTCATCCACAGATATTGATGGTGAAATCAGTGGGCCCCCAGTCACTGGTCAGAGGCAGGGGCTTTTGCATGTGCTGTCTACACATCTGAAAATTCCCTGCGCTTCCCTGAAGGAGCATGCACCTTTCAGGCAGGCCTGTGGGTTTGGAGACAGAATGTGTTCAGATCCCAGTGTCCACTCTGTGTTACCCTGATTACCCATCAAGTATGTTATCAGATTGCCCTAATTTCTATTTCCTCACCTGTAAAGTGGGTTTGCTAATGGGCCATGGGCTGTACCATTTCACGGCTTTTATGTAAAGATTAACTGGGATAATCTATGAAAAATGCTTGAAAGATCATGGTGAATATTTAGTGTCATTTGCCTGGGCCTATATCTTACTGCCTTAATATGAGGTAAAACCAATTTTCTACTAATCCAATATTTTATTCAGGGCATCATCTTTTTGTTCATTCTTCAAAACCTTTTCCCTCAGTTCTGTAGCTATGGGTATAACAGATAATTCTGCGAATAAGTCATATTTAAATTTGACTGTGGGTTTCTTCTTTATATAAAATAATGTTCACCTGCCTCAAGTGTAAGTTCCTGGGTTCAATGCCCAGTACCACAAACAAATAAATAAATAATGTTAACATTCCATAAAAAGCTATGAGTCTGAAAGCTGTTGCTACAGACCTTCATTACATTCAAGCAGCCACTGGAATTGGGTGTCTCTGGAGTGTTTTTCACATCACATATTTTTTTCTGGTTGCTTTTTTCTGTATTTGAATGATTACATATTTTTAATGAATGGAATATTAGATGCCACCTAGTGAAACTTCCTGCTCAAACCACAATGTTGTGGGGTGAAGGGATGGTGGTGGGGGAGAAAGCACTCAGTTTAACAGTATGTATGTGCTCATGTTATCAAAGGTCATGGGGGCCCGAGGATGTACTAGATGTCAGCTATCAAAAACACACGCACAGAAATCCTTCTTATGTTTCTGGTCTCCAAAGCAGCTTAGGATGAACATGAAGTAAACATGAAATTCATTCATTGGAATATTGTCTTAGCTGGAGTTGCCTTCACAAAGTGCTATGGACTGGGTGCTTTAAACAACAAAAATTTACTTTGCCACAGTTCAGAAGACTGCAAGCGGAGTCAGGGAGCCAGCAATTCCTAGTGAGAGACCCCTTTCTGGGTCCCCACACACAGTAGGAAGGACGGCATGCTCCTCTTGCCAGGACACTAGTCCTACCATGGGTACGCACCCCAGGATCTCACTGAATTTAGTCACCTCCCAAAGAGCCACTCTAAACACCACCATGTTTGGGGTCAGGCCTGCAACATACGAATTCAGTCCATTGCAGAACTAGATAAAACACCATGTACCATGAACTACTGAGAGCTGCAGGTATCACACATGGGGCTTCCCAGAGGGAGGTTGTTTTCCTCTTCCCTTTGTGAATGTTCCTAGCACTTTACCCTCCAGCACCCTTTCTTTTTAAAAAGAACTATACTTTCATCCTCCTTCTAGAAACCACCACAAAATCTTCTAAGTCTTCAAACAAAGATTTTCCCATGCTTGCCAGCTCTACATACTTCCCTATACATAATGACAAATAAACTCCTTTTGGGTCTCTGAACAGAAGAGGAATCAGAAATAACACCAGAAACACTTTTAATGTCCTCATTTTCTGTAGATATAACAAAGATGGTGATTGTTTTCAAAAGTTCCACATTTCTAACATTATTTGAGAAAAATATCTTTCCTAGCTCAACGTGTAAGGTTTATTTTGATTCTGAAGTGTTAGATGGAACCTCTGAGTTCACAGTTATGGAATCATTTTGTTGTCTGTCCAGAAAATGTAGTACATAAGATGAATGTTCACTGCAAATTAAACTTTCAGCCATCTTCAGCCATCTGGCATGACTGACTGGTCCCCAAAATACTACTCTGTCTCACAAATTGAGAATGATGTTCTTCTTACAACCAAGTGTGAGGCCCAGCCCTCCCAGCCATCCTGGAGAAAACACCTCATGGACTGTCCATGGGCCAGGCACATTAGAAAAAGCAAAACTCATCAAATGGAGCCTGCTCTCTTCCAAATAGCTCTGATGATTGTGAGTGCCCCAAACCATATTCTTAGTGAAGAAATAGTTCAGAAAACAACATACCAAGTTGTTCACACAAGAAAAAATTGAAAATAAAACATTTCCAACAGCATACAGTCTTATCTTTAAATTTTTACCAGGAGTTTTCACGTGGGTCCTTCTGATAATAAGCTCATAAAATAGCCATTATTGTCACTGCTTTCTGGAAAGAAGTGACTGGAGAAGGTGAGGCCCCTTCCATATCACCTGTTGGCAGCAGAGTCAGCAGTCAAACCCACATTTCCTTTTTTTTTTTGGTACCAGGGATTGAACTCGGGTCCTTGTGCTTGCAAGGCAGGCCACTGAACTGCTGAGCTAAATCCCCAGACCCAGATTTCCTTTCTTTATCCAAGACTGAGTTTTTTCTTTCATACCACTGCTACTATGGATGAGAAAGCAAATCAAAATCCAACAGTAAATGCCTGGGATCACTGCCATCTTTTTTTTTTTTTTATCTTTCAAGTAAAGTTATGTAGATAATACAAAATTGCTTGTGCACAATAAGAATTTAAAACTGCCTGTTGAATAGGAAGAAAAAGGCTAAAGGTGTAGGGAAAGTGGAAAGAGTAGGGGAAAGGTAATAAGGGAAAAGAAAAAAAAATGAGAAAATGAAAAATGGAAATAAAGTGTTTGTAAATGGGGAGGAGAGAAAGGGGTGAAGGGAGGGCAGGGACAAGGGGAAAAAATGAGAACCAAGACCTGTCATGTAAAGGTACAAGATACCAATAATGAATGTAACTGTACTGTATACCTAAAATGTACCAATAAACTCAATAAAAAGAAAAAAAACTGCCTGTTCTACCAATGACTTTACTAAATGAATATTTTAATACTAAGTAAAAAAAAAAAAAGCATGGAACATAAGAGACATGAAAAAAATTCCCTAATGAAAACGAAAAGTACTATCATAGAGCATATTCTTTATCCCTAGGAGAAATCTCACCCTTTTCCCCAGGAAGGGCCTGTTGTCCTGATCAGTGCTGACAAATGACCTGGTTTCCCTTCTCCTAGGAGCCACCAGAGGCCAGTATCTAGGATCCAACACTGGGGAGAGATATTTGAGGGTAGTCATTAAGCCCAATTTGTAATTTACAAAAATTCCTTCTCCTGTAAGTAGGAAAGAATACTAATTCACACTGGTTAGTAGTATTTAGGATCCAGCTTAACACATGAAAAATAAATTGTTCCTTCTGGAATAAAACTAGAAATTTAGTCATTTCATGATGCAAGTGATTTGCAGTCCTTTACATAATGCAAGATTTATGTAGTTTTTCAGTGATATTATTCATATACATAGTTACTGGTGGATATTTTTGTTTGTCACTACATCAGAGTCAAAAATTTTATGATAAGTTATTAATTGGTAAATTTCTAGAGAAACTTGACTGCTTTTATTTTGAAAGAGATAAAAACACCCTTTATATATTTAATTTAGAGATTTCAAAATTATAATCAATAATATTTGTGATGACCTATTTGAATCCAAGTCCCAGTATTTTGTAGAAAATGATAGTTTGTCCTTTGTATCACTGACTCTCAGTCTACTGATGTCCCATGCTTTATAAAATACTTTGACTTAACAATAAGCTAAAAATTATGCTCCCATGAGGTTAGTGATTCTGTCAAGATAAAACCTACTGTGTGGCTTTAATGGTTGTTAGCCATTTATCACACATATTTGCAAACAGTTCTTGGCAAGAGGTAAACCTCCACATTTATTCTGGCAAGACAGCAGCCAGCAGTCCTGGGGGACAGGGGTCGGGCTTCTCTTTCACTCTGAGGCCTGCCTCATAGCAATCACTGCTACTATTTGCGAACACTAAAGGAAAGCACCAAACATATGGGCACCGTCTTATTTCATTAAGAAAACAAAGCCTTAATTGATATAGCCAAAATATCTTCAAAAATGCAGTTGTCCTGAGATCTTCACCCAACTCTAAGACAGATGATGTCACTTTTCAGAACCAACTGATAAGAAGTTAGCACACTTATAAAAAAAAAATCCAAAATTAAAAAATAGAAATATACTAACTTTTAATTTTTATCTTCTGGAGCTGTTCTTTGATATCTGTTCCATGAGCTTCCTCCCCAATCAACTTCCAAAAATCTTCATAGTCGCTCATGTTCTTCAAGATTCCACATTTGGTCAACTCATTTTGCAACCTTATAATCTTATTTTCAAAAAGAAAAAAAAAATATATATATATATAAATACATGTGTTCATATTGCAGAGTGACAGTTTTTTATGACAAATTGTAAGTCAGGGAATGATTAAAGAAATTCGGCCGCTTCCTAACCATGATCAGAATATAATGTCTAGGTAATTTGCAGCTTATTTGGTTAAGAAAGTGCTACTTTCAACAGTAACTGACACCAAAACAAGTAACACCATACATTTGGACATCTGTGTCCCTGATTTCTATGGGTTCATTTACATTTTAAAATTAAAGGGAACAGGCTGGGGATTTAGCTCAATGGCACTGCGCGTGCCTCACAAACGCAAGGTCCTGAGTTCAATCCCTGGTACCAAAAAAAAAAAAAAAAAACCTAAAAATAATTAAAGGGAAGAATCTGAAGGCAAGTGGACTGTTATATCTTTTTTTTTTTTTTTAAACTCATTAATAGCCACTAAAAGAATTTCTAGAAGAGAACTGGTGGTGAGCAGGAAGCTTCGTGGGAGGAAGAAATGGGATACAAATTCCATGACAAAAGCAAAAATGAGAAAGGATCCATTCCCTAACAGATTTCTAGTTCCATCTCCCTTTGATCTGGTGAATCTGAAATTACCTACCATAGATTCTAAACCACTTGTTATATGAGCTGTGCTACTTGAAATCAAGTGTGATATCGTGACCAATTTGACAGAAAATAGGCCCCAGGACCTCCCACTCCTGCAAATATAATTTCATGTCTCAGACACTGAAGCAGGTGCCCAAATGCCAAGGCCAGCTTCAGGAATGACTATCTATCTGCCCTTAAATGTTGGCCCCAGGAGAGCTCTCTAGCCCCCTTTTAACTTAAGGGTCTCATTTTTCGTTTTCAATTTTTCAAAAGCCCAAATTACAATAAATTTAATTATAGCTCTAAATGGGTTTTGTATGTGATTCTAGAGTCAGGCGACTGAGCAAAGGGTTGGGTCACACAGACAGAACTGGCTGAAGAGGCAAAGACAGAGAAGAACATTGGATCAGCCAACCTCAAGTTCCTCTCCTTGCAGAAGAAACGGGATTCCCTGGGCCTGCTCAGTTAGCTGGGACCATCCTGATAGGTCGACCTCTCCCTTTTTGAAAACTGGCCCAACACTGAGCTCAGTGTAAGTGGCCCCTGGCATGGCTGACTCCATTCCAGTCTCTGGGGCCAGTGACAGTATACAAATTTATATTAACAAACTAATTAAGAAAAAAAAGCAGGCATCACGGAAGTCTAAAAAGAACTGACTGTGAAGGTTTTTGTTTTGTTTTTCGTTTTGAATGACAAAAATATAGCTCACATCAGCATTTACCAGACTTTCTGTCGTCCCTTCCCCCTCCCCCACCCCCGTCTAATTTCTGGAGCATAAATTTAAAGGTTTCTGCGACCTGGCCTTCTGTGGAGACTGACTCCCTCAGACAACAGGAGGTGGCCCTAGAGGTAGGACCCTCCCTTCCTCTGCAGGAAGCTCTTTCATCCTTCGAAACAGAGGCTTTTAAACGACAGGGAGTTTGGGGAAGATTGCTGAGGGATCCCGAGGTGATCGCTTGAGATTGGGGTGGGGTGTCCCTGGGGTCTCCCCTTCCGTCCAGCTCTAAGCTCAGGCTGTCCAGCGAGCTCTAGGGACCGGGCTCCCCAAGTTCCTGGATCATTCGTATCACTCAGCGAACTCCTCCTCAGAAGGGCGGCATGGAGCCAACGACTACCGGGCCTGGAAAGGGGCTGTCCGTGTCCTCAGCCCCGCGCACTAGAGTCCTACCAGGTAGACGCGGGACCGCGGAGGAGACCACAGGAGGCCCTCCCGGGGCTCGGCTTGGCGCGGGGACTCTGGCAACTCTCGGGGCACAGACTTCAAACATGGGCACCGAAGGCGGCCAGCCTGGGGTCTGGTAGTAGCTGGGAAACAAAGCTGCAAACAAATGACAAGTAAACACCCAGCCACAGGAAGCCATTAAGAAGAGTAGGCGCTAATGAGCGCGCCGCGGGGACCCGCAGCCGGGGGCGCCCGGGTTGGCCTGCAAGGAGGGGCGCAGGGCTCACGGCGGCCGGAAGGCGAAGGGGTCTGGGGACGCGGGATCGGGTCCCTGCCTCACTCTTCTCTCCAGGGTAAAGGGCGCCCTGGGTCGCTCCGGGAAACTGCGGAGTCACCCACCATTGGACCCATTCTTCCGTGGTCTTTTGAAGTCGTTTCTCGCAGAAAGCAACCTTTTTGAATCACCAGATGCTCTTTGGAGCCCCTCAAACTCAGACCGTTCTTTTAAAGATGTTTTCTTTAAGGAGTAGTGATTTGTCAGGCAAACCTCTCATACTTTTCCGACTAAACTTTTTGGAATAACAGATACTGTTTTAATTTTTAAATGACAGTTTGTTTTGATTTGTTCCCCCCCCCAACACAAGACCTTTGCTCTGAGCTACATCCCATTTATTTGTTTGTTTGTTTGTTTATTATTTGAGACAGGATCTCTAAATCGCTAAATTGCAGGAGCTAGGATCAAACGTTCGATCCTCTTGCCTTATCCTTTTGGTGTCCTGGGGTTACAGGCGTGCGCCACCTCCCCCGCGTAAATGACAGCTCTTTCAGCATCCCTGGCTCTGACAGATGCTGCTCAGGGCGGGTCCCACTTCCCGCGCGATGTCCCGACTTCATCCTCCTACCTCTCTCGGTCCTCACGCAGCGACGCCCAGCGGTCAGCCAGGTCCCTCCGGGGGCGAGAGTATCCACTCGGGCCCTGGGTGACGGCTTCTCGGGCTCCAGGTGCAGCGGACCACACACCGAAAGGGGCCTGGGAACTTAGAGCGACGCAAGGGAACTGCCCACTCACTGTGCTTTTTATGCGTGTTTGTCTTGGACATTTTAGGAAGTACGTGGGAAAGTGGTGTCAGGGTAAATGTCAGGTCTACACAATGTGTCTGAGAAAGCGAGTATTCCCTAAGCATCACCTAAGCCTTGAGAAATGTATTTCCATGGTCTCTTCGTGTGTGATAAACTGCCTTTGAGGGACAGAAGACTAATCATGGCGACATCATCATAGATACACTGACAAAATTAAGAAGAGAGGACAACCACTTTAACCAAATAATCCTAGAAAGTAACTGAAGCTAAGAGAGTGGAAAGAAAGGTGATTCCACTGTCTTCTGGGGGGTATGTGTGTCCATTTAGGTTCCTGTCAATTTTGTCTTTCTCCATGAAAATTAATTCAAATGTATTTTCATTTGTGTATGTCATGTTTTGTACCCTGAACATTAGCCAGATAATATGATTAAATTTCTATAATGAAATCATCATCTCATTGACGTTAACTGAATTAGAACTCAAAGCACATGAATATACTAGAGGATATAGAGATTACTAATTATTACTTTTAGTTTTACAGCAACAGTTCCTGAGGCGAAAACTTCTAGATAAAATGAATTGGATGACATGGCTTCTTCTAGATCTAAAATTTTAGATCCCCTAATAATTTTTATTTAAAATATCACATATATATATATATGTATGCATTTTTTAAACCTTAATAGTTTAGACTGACTGAAAATAAAGTCAGTTGTCTGTTCCACCCACCTTCACTCCCAGGCCAACTTTCTATAGACCTCAACTGTTCTCTGCTTCAGTTAAGCACTGCACTAGAATAAGCAGAGTCCCAAATAGAATGATCATCCAACTGAACAACCACCACTCTAGAAGGTTTGCCACATCCTACTTTTCTTTCTGTATACATCTAGAAAGTTTTTACTGTTCTTCCTTTGCCTTTCATTGTGGGCGGGTCTGGCCCCTCTCAGAGTGTGGCAGGTGTCCAGGTAGATTTTCCTTACACAATTCTTGAATCCCCTGGAAATTTTTCCCTTATTTTTGAGGAAGAACTTACTTGCATTGATTCCCCAGAATTGTCATATCAGGCCCTCAACTACATAAGAAGCTGCTCCACGCGCCTCTCCATTCACCCCTCACTGGTCCTCCTGGGCGAGCCATTGGCTAAGACAGAAATTTAAATCATGTAAACACTGGGAGTCAGTGAAAAGGCAATTACTGTGGGAAATGTCAACTCTCAGCTGTTATGAATAATAGTATCTACATATTGGATTTTCTACCAGATTCAGTCATCAAATCATGACCCTTTCTTTCAAATCAATATTTTGAATTACATAGTGCAAAGAAATATGTAAAGGTAAAACTTTTTAAAAGTATTTTAAAATTATGACAAATCACTCAAAAATTGAAAAAGTGGAGCCAGGATTTAGCTCAGTGGTTCTGCTGCCTGCCCCACAAGCACAAGGTCCTGAGTTCGATTACCGGTACCCACCCACCCCCAAAATTGGAAAAGGTTAAAAAGGCAGATGACAATTCTTGTGATGTCAGATTTAACGGCCTGCCAATGGATTCCTTAGGTGGATATATTTAGGGGGAGTCATTGCTTACTATTTGTTTTAATTGAACTAGAACCCAAAACTAAAACTTCAAAGCTGAAGAGCTAGTGAAGTCACATGTTGAATTTCTACCCTAATTAGAGTTACAATTTCTGTCCAGTGGAAAAAATAACCCCAAAAGTAATGGCTTATCCTCTTGTAGGGCACTTTGGGCCTCACATCCTCTTCAGAATCAGTCTTAACATTTAATTTGTCCCCTTATCAACCATTTAGTTGGATTAAATTAATGAATTAATTCTTAATTAATTCATTTATTTATTGTGGTACTGGGGATTGAACCCAGGGTCTATGCAGTGAACTATATCCCTGACTCTTTTAGACATGGGGGTCTCATAGTTGCCCGGGCTGACTTCTAATTTTTACTTGTGTATGAACCATGTTTTTAACTTTTTGAAGTGTCTAAATTAATGTGCCAGAGGAACTGAGATTTCTCATGTATCAATGCATCATTTCTATTCCCTCATCCCTGGGTCCTTGCCCTGATTCTTCCATGTGCCACCAGCACAGAGGAGAATTAACCTCACCCCTCTACATCAGGGGCAGTTATGAAGTTTAATGCAACCTATTATTCTTGAGTATTTACTTGTTTAGCAAAGTTACTCATGTCTATGTATACTATCAATTCATGTACATTTGGGGTAAAAAGTTTTATCATATTTTCACATTTTAAAAATGTCATTTTCTTATGAATCTTTTTTCATTTTATATGAAGACCTTTATAATATTGTTTGGGGGAGCCTAATTAGTTTCCCTGATTGTACATTTATATCTCCAACAGGCAAAGATTAACATTTTCTCCACCACTGAGATGGACAAACACTTCCACTAAAAACAATGTGCTTCTCCCCACTCATCTCCCTTGTACTTAAAATATGAGGTGTAAATCAAAGAGAAGGCACTGAGTCCATGTCACATCCTTTCTCCATGGTTTTTTTTTACAAGGTTTTTTAGATAGTAAACTTATATAACTTTGGCTTTCTTTCTGCAGTTCATTGCTGTGTCCTAAGTCTAGTGATTCCATACAGATCATTGTCACTTTGTAATATATTCTAAACCTGTCACCAGTGCCCTTTCATCACCTCACTTGAAGGAGCTCAGGAGGATAAGCAGGCATCTCAGGCCTTTCCCCAGAACTGCATGTAGCCCCAAGCTGAGTCCTCCCCCTGGATCCCAAGTCCTGAGCATCTTTTCTCTCCTTTGCAGCCGCTGACATCTCCACTGCCCTGACAGCCTGTGCTGCTGCTACCTCTGTCTCTCTGCCTATGGCCTGGTTTGTCTTGCTTTGGGGCATAAAGGTGCCAATAGCCCCACAGCCAGCCTGACTCCTGTGGCAGGACAGAGAAGGTGCCTACTCCATGCTTAACTGCTTTGAGCTTTGAGTTCTAGTCTCTTTCTCAGGTGAGGGAGGAAGACCCTGGGTCTTTGCTGAAGGGCATCTCCATTTGCTGAAAGACTATCGTTGTAAGTCCCAAGCTGCTAGGGTAGAAGGCATTGTGATGACATCCAACATCAAAAGTCAATTTTGAAAGTATTTGAATGCAGAGCCTTTCTTGCCCATTGTCACCTACTAAAGGCCTTAGCCTTAGAGCCTGGGAAAATCTGGTAAGATGACATCCACTTGGGTAAGGTAGCTAGTGAGACCTACAGACCCTCCACTCTACTTGGTGCCATCTCTCCTGGAGGGTCCCAGCAGATCACACCCTTCTCACACTAATGTCTCTCCTTAAATCTGGAAACTGAGGCTGAAGGGTGTGAGAGCCAAGAAAAACTAAAGTTTAGGGTGCCAACACGCAGATTTCTGCACCCCAGTCTCATTAGTGCACTTTAAACTCTTTCACAGTCTTCCCAAATAAATGCAAGTTAAGACTCAAATAGACCAGTGCAACTAGGAGCCCTAACCTCTTCCCCAGACTGTGCACACACAGGAAATATGCCTCAGTCTTTGTTCCACTCACTTCTAATTAGCCAGAAACAAACTCATTTGGTGACTAAAATTTGTTGAGGAACATTAGAATATATCATTATTTTGGCAGCATCTCCTCCAGGTGACAAAGAGTGGGGAACAGAGGTGGGATTGGCCTTGCACCCCCATCATCTAGTTGCCAGGTCCGATGCCTGTTCGCTCATCGTCTTTGTCAGGGAGATATAAAAAAGGATGAAAAGATTTCTAAGTACAAATTTTCAAGTCTCTGGTTCTGAAGAAAAGGAGTCACTAAAAAAAAAATAAATAAATTATAACCTTTAAGATTTTCTGTGAGTCAGTCTCACAGAAAAAATTTGTCAAAAAAAAAAAAAACAAACAACAAAAGACACAAAGCCACATCACTTCTTGGAAGCATCAAAAACAGTAGGTACTGACAATATTTTCTGAGATGATTAAATACTTTAAATCTTTGTAATTAAAGTTAGATTTTTTCTTATCTTTATTTTTGGTAGAATGCAACTTTGAGCAGAAGTCCATTCTTTAATGTCCATAAAGACCTT